GCTCTCGGCGGCCGCCCCCCTCCTCCTCGGCGCGGACCATGTTCGCCAAAGGGAAGGGCTCGGCGGTGCCCTCGGACGGGCAGGCGCGGGAGAAGTAAGAGCGGCGGCGGCGGAGGGGGGAGCGGGGCGGCGGTGGCGGCGGGCGGCTTTGTGCGGGGCGGGAGCGGGGCGCCTCTTCCTCCTCCGACCCGGCGCTCGGCTGTTGCAGGCTGGCGCTGTACGTCTACGAGTACCTGCTGCACGTCGGCGCCCAGAAGTCTGCGCAGACCTTCCTGTCCGAGGTGAGCCCCGCCGCCCCCCGCGCCCTTTGTGCGCCGCCGCACGCCCGCCCTCCATCTTGCGCGGGGCGGCGGCGGCGCCGGGGGGTCGCCGCGCGTGGGGGCCCACGCAAGTGCGGGGGTGTCCCGTCGCGGGTGGGAGCAGCCCCCGGGGGTGGGGGGGTGCGCGCCGGTGGCGCGGGGCCCCCACGGGGTACAGCTCCGGTAGTGGCGTGAGTCAGCAGCGGCGGCGAGCCCCGAACCGCCCCGGCTCCCGCTCCCCGCGGGCGTCGAGGCGCGGCGGAGCCACCCCCGGCCCCGCGGGAGCGGCGGGCAGGGCTCCCGCTGGAGAGCTGCCGGGCCGGCCGCAGGCACCGGGCTGTGCCGGGGCCACTGGGGCGCCCAGGGGAGCGGGGCTGGGCGGCTGCGAGGCTGGGAGAAGTCCCTGAAGTCGCACGGGGGTTGTCCCTTCCAGGTGTTGCCTCTTAAAGGCTACTTTTGCTTCCTGAAGCAGCCAGCTTCCCCACTCCTGACGGTCAGGTCCGGGTAGTGTAAAGCTGGGATGCACAGCTGGATCCAGCTGTGGTCCCGGCCGCTCACCTGCGCTGACCTGGCTGCCCGATCCCTGATGAGTAACTGCTCTTCTCCCGTCTCTCCCTGCCGTGCAGCGTGTTTTGGGACCTGTACTGCGCAGCTCCCGAAAGGCGAGACACTTGTGAACATTCGAGTGAAGCCAAAGCCTTTCATGACTACGTGAGTAACAAGTTTCTAATCCTCGCGGTAATTACGGCGTTGGGGAGCTCCGGCGCACCAAGAGCCAACCTAACGTAACCGACTGGCAAAAAGCGTGGGGTTTTTTTAAACCAGCAATGTTCTGATTTGACTGAACAGTATTTCATAATGTTGCAATTATGTAAATGAGCTCAGATACTTATCTTAAGCACTTAAAGGCATTCGGGCTAGTGGTAGAATTAAGAAGTTTTGCATAGCAGTGGACAACAAAGCGTTTATAGAGGGTCCATGGCAAGATATTTCATGCTGAGGACACTGTGGTGGTGAGATGTTTCATGCTGAGGGCACCTTGCAGGATGGGCGGGGGTTGGATTTTGGTGGGGAGGAGAAGGGGGAATTCCCCAAACCGCTGTTGAATGCCCCAGTTAATAAATACCTCCCTGCCTTTGGCAAGGCTGGGGGCTTCCTGGGTTTCCTGAGTCCTCCCTTGATCCCAGCAAGGGAGAGGTGTTGTCTTGTTGAAGCTGGTGTTGCAGACCCCCCTTGGTTGGTCGTTGTGCATCTTTGGCTCTCCATGGTTTGGGTTGCTCTCTGCAGAGGTGGCAGCATGACCCAGGGATGGATGATGCTTTTGGGGTGGCGTGCTTGAGTCTGAGGTGTCTCCCAAAGAGCCCCTCTTGGCAAGGGTGCATGGCACGTCTGCCCCACGGGCGACGGGTGGGCTGCCCACTCCCGTCCCGCACTCGGTGCCCGCATCCGCAGCGTTGGGAGGAATTTGCATCAAAGGATTAGTCACCTGGCTGCGGGCTTGGACCCCAGTCAAGTGCGTTTAAACCTTGTAGCAGGAGCTGGTTTTGTCTGCTCCGGGGAGACTATGGTATGGAAACCATTTTTCCTCCCTTCCCAAGTTTCTCGTTGCCTGGACATGCCTGGCTCGGGATGTGTGAGGCTTTGCTGGCGAGCGTCTCGGGGACCTCGGTGGCGCTCTCACACGCTGGCACTGGACACAGCGGTGGCCCTGGGGCACGGGCAGTGCCAGAGAGGCTGGGCTGGCTGCTGAGCTGCCTCTTGTCTCTTCCCACCCTTCTGGGTCTTGGGAGAAGTGTGTCTGGGTATTTGCTAGGTGGAATTTGTCTGTCTGTCTGTCCATCCCTGCGGCCGCTGTCTGCATTGCTTGTTTTCGCTGGGTCGGATTAAGATGGTGAACTCCTGAACCGAGGGTCAGAGCTGATAACCAGCAGCACGTCTAGCAGTTGTTGGGTTCTCTCGCTTCCTGGATGTTTTGGGGCAAATTGCAGGGGTTTTGGGAGCCCAGATGGGACAGTGGGCTCATCAGGAGCAAGGCAAAGGTAAATCTTTGGGCAGCAGAACCACAGGTGAAGATGACATTAGCAGGCAAGACCTGGTAATGCTCCATCCACAGCAGCCTACTCATCGTGTCTGAGGATTTAGTGTATTTAGAGAAATTAATCTTTTTTTAGCTTGGTAATAATTCTAACAATAGGCCTGAGTGCATTAGATGATTCACATAAACTTCTTTAATACATGTCGCTTTAAGCTTACAGTAAATAGACACAATCCTGATTGTTTTTAATTCTCAGTGTAATGCAGTTTTCTAACAGCCCCAAGTGCTTTACCTTTTGGGTAACTCCTAAGATTTTCACTCCCCTGTGCTTTGGCTTAGTGGCACTGGGTTGGTTTCCCCAGGCACGTTTTGGCCCCAAGACAGGGCTTGTGCTTCTCCGTGGCACGGCTGCTGACGGATGCTCACGGTACAGTCCCGCTCTGAGGAATGGTGTTTTCCTGGCACAGCGTGTACTTTACAGGGCGAGGGACCTACCTGGCCAAAACTTAAATATTGACCAAAGAACTGAACGATAACCGTGGCAGTGTGAATAGAGCCTTGTTTCTCTCCAAGGCATGGTGCTGGTGCTGGTGAGCATGGTGGGCAGTGTCAAACAGCAAACCCAGCCACCCATCAGCGGTGCTTGGCAGCTAAAATGGGATATGAGCCCCAAATGGGGCTGGATCAGTGAGTCATGAATTGCTTCATGTGGTGGTTGTGGTTAAAAATATCCCAATCTAAGTCTTGCCCCAGGTTGGTAGAGCATTGTATTTACACTTGGCCAGCAATGGGCAAAATCTGTGTGTGCTGCTTGGTGTTTGCCCAAAATATGGTGTGTGTTAACTCTGATAATGTGCTACTGTAAGGACAGAAAGGGGATGCTTTGGGATCCTGGCGTGTCACTTTCCCAGAGCCAGCACTGGAGAGGTACTTGCCTGGGACACAAATCTTTTGGGAAGGGGGAGCAGGTCTCCTCATTGTAGCAGGGTGGGATTTGCGTGGTGTGTCATTTCCACTTTATTTTCCAGCATAACTGTATGAAAGCACTGAACTGTTAGGAGCAGCAGGACAAATTGCTGATTTCCCCCTCCAGTTTTGAGTGTTTAAATCTTCAGTGAGAAATTAAAGTAAGGAAGGAAATTAAGAAAGTAAGGAGAAATCCCTCCACTCTTTTTTGAGGGGACCCTTGAAAGCTGTGGAGTCTTGTGAGTGCTTGGAAGTATTGCTTTTTACCTTTCCCATAAGGTTTTTCTCCCAAGCTGGGACAAAAACCTGCTGGGACTTTGTAGAAAGGTGCTTGTTGGGAGAAGAGTGATGGGAGTGGGGATTCACCTGGCACAGGCAGGAGGAATGCTGCTCCGCTCTACCCTTCCATCTCTGGCAGGTCTGTGCGTCTGTTAACACAAACAGACGAGTTTCGAGTTGTGTTGGTTGGAGGGTTGTTCGTCACCCTCTTCCACCTGTATCCAAAGATTTTATCCAAGCTAACAACCCCAGGACCACCAGCTCCTCAAACTCAACCCGTAGCCATCGATTTAGGTTCCTCCGAGCCCCGTGGCGAGCAGGCCGGCGTTCCGGCGCGCTCCCAGAGCCGGCGAGCGTGCGAGGGGATCGCCCGTCATGACAGGGGATTTCAGCCGCCGCGTTATCTGGGAATTGGCCGATGGCTGGTCGCAGTTGAGCATTTCAACGCCGTGAAAGCCAATACAATTTGAGTTAGCGGTGATGACTGCCAGTTTAAATACCGCAGTGAATTTCTGTCAAAGAGCTAATACACAGAAAGGGGAATTGCAGAAAACTTGATCACCAGAACCACTTCAGTCGATTTTGGCCTCGAGCTACAGAAAATGAACTTAAATCTAGTTGACTGTTGCTACATACTTTTTTTGTGGTATTGCTCTGCCTGCACAGCCAGCTCATGTCAAACATGCAGGAGAGAAAACTCAGAGTAGCCTTTAGCTGATGAAGACTTTGACTTCATCATGCCCTCTCTCTGTTTCCCCCAGTTTCCTCCTGAGAAGGACCTGCACTTGGGAGCGTTTGAAATGCTGTTTTCTTTGCAGCACAAGATCTGCGTAGCTGTGGCTTCAACTTGCCATTAACGCAAAACATTGATTTATTTGCTTTTGTTTTTAACTTCGGAAAGCTGCTGCAGTTCTTTCTAACTTGGGTCTGGAAAGATGTCTGCAGCAGTGGGGGTGGTTGCTGCTGGAGGTGCCGTGGTTGGTCTGGGGAAAGATGGTATGTTTGGGGCTCCTGTCCTTCTGTCTTGGTTGGGGACAACCAACCTTTGGGGCTTCTGCTTTTTATATGAAACAGAGAGATCTGTTTCATATAAAAAACATGATAGAGATCTCAGGGGGTTCTGAAGCGGATGGATGGATGGATGGATGGATGGATGGATGGATGGATGGATGGAGAATTCAGGCTTGCTGGAGTTAGTGCGCTCGGTGGAAACTAGGTGAAGCCCAAGAGGCTGGAAGGACTTTGGTCTGCTGGCTGTACAGACTGGGGGTGTCCCTGGGATGGTTCTTTTATGTTGAATCTGCCAATCATGCCCCATCCAGGTGTGGGACAGGCACCCCATCCCAGGATCACTGCCTGGGTATTCTTGGGCTGCTGGGAGCATTTCCTTGTCACAGCACCATCTGCTCCCTAGGGTTTGTGTGGCCAACTCCTGGCATGGTGCACTGGCAGGTGACATGGCCTTGTGGGACCCCTGGGAAGGGATGTTCTTCATGGATGAAGGGTTTGGTGTGACTGTCTCCTCTGCCCTGCCAGGCTCTCTTCGTGTTCCAGGACCAGTGAAGGTTGCAAGGCCTTGTTCAAGGCACTCATGGCTGTGAGGGTAGGACCAGCAGCTGTGAGAGTGTTGATCCATGAGTACTTCTGTGGTGGTGGTGGTGGTCCATGAGAGCTTCTCCTGTTGTGTGCAGCCAGTGTTGTGGAGGAGAAGCACGTTGTGTAGGAGAAGAGCTGTTTTTGGGGCAGGTTTAGTGCAACACAGGGACAGGGGTTGGGAACAGCTTTGTGTGGTCCCTGTGAGCCCCCACAGGCATTGCGTGAGCCCTGGGCATGTGGCTCAGTGGTGGCACACACAGCTCTGTCCTGTTTCCATGTGGGACTGCTCTCCGTCTGGGCTCCATCCAGCTCCACTCTGCAGGGACAGGGTTCCCTGGTAGGTAACCGGAGAGAGGAGTTTCCTTCAGGAGTGGCAGCTTGCCAGGAGCAGCTGCAGAACTCCACATCACTTCACAAAAAAAAAAAAAAAAATTGCAACAAAAATAAATAAATCCAGATATTCCCTCTCCTGGCAGTGCTGGGCTCGGCCTCCCCTCCCAGTTCAGGGTACTGGTGAGCCTGGGTGTCCTTTAAAGCCTGCTCTTGCAGGAGTACCATGCAAGGGTGGATTAGTTTAATATTATATTTTAAACAACATTGGCTGTCATGACAGAGCAGCCTCGGCTTCCACACTTCCTGCTGCCCAGCAGCAGGACCAGGGCATTGCAGAGCAGCACCTTTCCACGGGTGATGCTCATGGAGAAGGCTCCATTGTGAAACCGGAGGTCAGAGCCCAGAGCTTATGTCTTAGTCTTTGACTGGGGAGCCTAAATATTTATCCTGTTCTGTCCCTAATGAAAACAAATTGTCAACAGTTGTTCAGTAACTGACTAAA